TTCCTTGTTAATTGAAGTCCGAAAAAATTCCGTTTGATGAAACATCTAGGCTTTCCTTCGTAAATGTACAAAACCCAGCCGTTATTTTTGATCGATAAAATCTTTTATAAATTTGTGATATGCTCAAATTTGTCTGTGTGTCCTCACCTTAGAACAAAACAGCCGAGCCCGTACCGTTAACGGTATGATTACGACCATATAGCGCTGAAACATTAAATTACGAGATGATAAATTTAAATCGAAGCCTGATTTGTATCTAGATGAGTGACCGCTTGGGAATACCAAAAAAAAAAAATAAGCTTTAATAAAAACAGGTGGTGTTATGGATAATTAAATCTAAATTGTTAATCAGATGGTTTAGCCGAGTTCCAATTTCAGTTTGGTTCGCCATATTCGCTTATATTCAAATACTCTCGGAAGAGGTATGAATCCACCTGTTCTCATTTTATAATCACTATTAATCAATTTTTTTTCCGTGAAAAATTTTCCAAAAAGATGACAGGGAGGTAAAGAAAAGATACTTCACTTTGACCCCAGCCCGAAGCAGAAAAAACAAAATAAAGGCATGAATCGCTAATTGTCGAAGGGCTTGCTACCAATCTTAATAAGTATATGAAATTTGTCACTTATTTGATTATGTTATATTCACATATGACAAAAGAGATTTCGTAGACGGATCTTTTAGTAATCGTTCTGTTTCAAATTATCAAAAAAAAAATATATATATATATATATATATATATATATATATATATATATATATATATCGAGGTGATAACCTAAGTATGAAATAATAAAACAATAAATTTTAATAGACAACTCTAAAATAAATTTTATTTTTTAAATTTTTCAATATTTTATTATTCAAAACATAGACAGATAGACATATATATACATATATATATATATATTTATATATATATATATATATATATATATATATATATATATATATATATATATAAATGTGAACATAGAAGTCAACACTTAGAGGCGACAGTCTGTTTCATACTAGATGCAATCCTCAGGCTACGAGTGCTGTTATTTTTCTAGGCTATTTATATATACGGGTCACTGGTGCATTGTGGGTAGTCTATTTTGGCGGTTATTTTACCGGAAGTCGTTTATTTGTTTATTTATTTATTTGGGTTAAATTATTTTGCTTGTTTTTTTTTTTTTTTATTTTTATTCTTTTTTTTTTATTTTTATTTCTTATCTTATATATTTATTTATTTATTTATTTTTATTTTAATCGGTGTTTTTATTAACGTAGTAAAAATTTGTTTATATCGCTTATTTAATAGTTTTGTTTTGGTTTGGGAAGATAATTAAAGCTATTTATTCAATTTTGGTGTTGATTGTTGTAGTTTATTCTAATTTATTTTGGCGGGAACAGTTATTAAATTGTTTATTACTTCATGTATTTATCTGGATTGATTATCTTTATTTATTTTTCTAACGGTTATTTTTATCGGGATCCGTTTGTTAGTTTATTTATTTATTTGGATGAATTTAGATTAATTTATTTTTTTTTTTTTTTTTTATTATTTATTTTTTATATTTTTTATTTTTATTTTTTCTTATTTTTCGATTTTTTAAGTAACGTAATATTTTTTTTTTTTTTTATCGTTATATAACAGTTATAGCTATTTTTTCGTCCGATTTTTGGTTTGATTTTTATAGTCTATTCTAATATTTTGGTCATAATGGTTTGTTAATTTGTTTTTATTATTTATTTTTATTTTTTTTTATTTTATTTTTGGGTTTTTTTGATTTTTTTTTTTTTTTTATTTATTCTTTTCGTCTATTCTAACAGGTGTGATTTGGTAATTTGTTTGGTTTAATTTATTTTATTTATTTTATTTTTTTTTTTTTTTATTTATTTATTTTTATTTTATTTTTTTCCGTTTTCGATTTTTTTAAGTAACGTAGTAAAAATTTGTTTTCATGTCTGCATTTTGAGATGAGCTCGGATCTTTTATTTAATAATTTATTTTGGTCTGGGAAGGTAATGATAGCTATTTTTTTCCTCCAAGCAAAGTTTGCAAGTTTTTGATTGGTTGTTGTAGGCTGATGATCTTTTCCTTATTTTCCAAGATATTTTTGGTGTGATGTGCGTTTTTTTTTTAATTTCCCAGATATACTTAGAAAGCATTGTGCTGTTCGCATATTTACTATTTGTGAAAGATTTTTTGTGTGCATAATTTCTTTTGTTTTCAGGGTCCTTCAGTTACTCCTATGTATACTTTTTTCTTCATTATCTGGTGATTTTATCGTGGCTTGGTATATTACGTTGTTTTGTAAACAATTACCGTTTAAGGGACATTCGTTTCTTTATTCTGCAGTTGCACATGAGTTTAATTTGTTTGTGTGGTTTGTCGATAATTTTTCCTGTTGTGCTTTTTTATTATTTGTGCCATGTTCTCGGTACAACTGTAGCTGATTTTTACTGGGTTTTTGTTGAATATTTTGTGTAGGGTGCTTGATTCTGGGAAGTGTTTGTGTAAGAGTTTGAAGAATATTTTTCCTACGTTTGTTTTTACGTTTTTGCTGTACGGTGGGTTGAACCATATGATATTTCTTTTCCTGTTGGCCTTTTTTGTGTTCTGTGGTGAGTATGTGAGTGTTGCTGGGAATCCACTATCTTTTAGGGCTGTTTCGTAGTCTTTCTTAGCTTTGTTAAATATGGATTCATTGGAGGAATTGTCGGAAAGCCTGCGGTTAATCGATTTTGGTATCTGTTTGATTATAGAAGGCGGGTGATTGGAAGATGTGTGTATCTACAGTGGTTTATCATTGGGTTTTCTGTATGGTTTATATGTGCCTTTTCTTAGGTTGAAGGTAACATCTAGAAAATCTACTTCGTTTAGGTTAGTTTTTATATTTATGTCGAATCCGTTATTTTGGAAAATTTTTTATTATTGCTTTTCTAGCTTTGTCTGTATTTTGTTTGTTACAGTTTCTTAAGATTATGAGACCGTCGTCCCTGTAGAGTCCTGTGTCATTTCTATCTATTATTTTGCTTAGTTCGTGTAGGAAGTAAATACCTATGATTTCGCAAACAGCACCGTCAAAGCTTCCCATTGTAGTGTCAAAGATCCCATTTTTCTTTATCCATGCTTCTTTATTGTGAAATAGTAATGATTTACTATTTTATTTTTAATGATGTTCGATTTCGTTTGGTTTTATTATTATTTGTTCCTGAGCTAAGTTGATGGCCTTATCTAACATGCGTTCTGTTATGGATGGGTAAAATTCTTTTGTCTAATTTAGGAATTGGCAATTTTGTTTGTTATTTATGTTGTGGAACCAGTCAATAGTTTTTTTGTATTTTTCCACTGGTTTTACTCTAACTTCTTCCTAAGTTCAGAATTAGTTCTTTCTGGTATCGTTTTACTTATTTTACCTAGTTTGCTTTTTCTGGAAAAAAGTCTGCATTCAAAGATGAAACCTTT